GCCAACCTGTAAATCTTAAATTTAACTCTTGTTCACCAGCTGCCAAGTATCTTTAATCATTAATTGCTTGTGTCACCACTTACACACCCTCTCTACAGGCTGTAATTTATTGTAAACTAGAAGTGCTGCCGTGAGCTAAAGCACACCACGTACAGTGAGGACTCGTAGGGTCCATTCACCTCCCGTACTTTCAGCAGCTCCTTCTACTTTGTGTCCTTCAGGTGGGTTCACTAGGCGAAAGCCACGGCCACCCTTATGAGGTTTGCCTTTGATCTGATTTTAAACGTGATTTTTAACACAGTTTTTACCGGACATTTAATATCTTCAAGTGTCAAGTCTTGTGATGGTGCTACAAATGCTTGCTGGGGTAAAGCGAGAGGAGAATATGGCTCAAAACCTGCACTAAGGGATGGTGAGGTTTGTGGCATAAGCTCATGTAAGTGGGAGGATGGCTGACTAAGGGTGACACAGCTTGAGTTCTCTGACACCCGGGTAAAAGGGAAAGCTAGATTTTTCTCACCACATCTTGTGAAGCCCAGTGTTCTTCTCCCTCGTGAGGTATTCCCTTTCCTTTGACAAGTGGTGTCACATCACCAGGAATTGTTTGCCTGGGCAGCCACTGATTTTAATAAAGTAGAGCAGAAGTCAGCATCAGGGTGGACTTAAGGGCCACAGATTTTTCCATGTAGAACTTCTGCAACACTTCACTGATGGATAAGATTAACTTACACCTTTGCTGCTGCCGCCTTGTGACGTAGCAAAACATACAAGTGCTAACTATCCTTGAGAATACACAGCTTTTTAAGGAAGGCACAGCAATATAGCGACCAGAATATATTTTAACTGCCCCTGTGCACACAGGACATTAGGCAGCCCTGAAGTTGCTAAAAATAGATAAAGTGCTTAGATTTTTTTTACCCAGCACTTCTTTTGATTGTTTATGTGTGTGCATACAGAGGGGAGAAAATATTACCAAAGCAGAACAAGAGGCTTTGCACCCTTTGTGCTCTAGACTAAGCAATACACAGGAGCAAAGCTTGCAGAAATGGTAGTGTGGGAATACGGCGTGCCAGCAGGAGGGAATGGTCAAGGTCTGAGTCCCTTCTCGTCGGTGGGCACACCAGATCCTCTCTGTTAGTGCGGTGGATGCTGCAAACAGTGAAGGCCCAGTTTCTTGTCTCTTTCCTTACAAACCCACAGTTTCCAAGTGGTTCTGGCAGCTTTACCTAAACACAAGGTCTTCCTATCGTCCCTATTTCGTAACAGGCTCACAAGGGAGCTCGCAGTCAGGGGGGCGTCATCATCTCTGGTAGGGCAGGAGGTAACGAAAGGGACGAATCCATCCTGTCTGTCTGCCGCTTCCTCTTTTTTAGCAAACTTATTCAGCTCTACATCAAACCCACGCAAATGCTGAGGTTGAATGTGAATGCTGTCGGATGCTCACTCCACGTGGGAGAGGCATCAGGGGAAGGAAGAAATAAATATTTGGTGTAAAACAGGGGGCAGAGACCAGGCTGAACAAAGACGTGAAAGCAGAGAGATGAGAGGGAATGAGTGGAGCCAACAGATCCCACTCCACTCTCACACCAATTATGCAAAAAGGGGACATTCAATCAAGTAGGTTCAAGGCCATTTTGAGTAATTTCCCTGCGGGACAGTCACAGCGAGGCCATGGACACTCATCTGCTTCCCGCTGTCCCCCCATACAGGGTCTGAGCCCCCCGTGACAGCCCCAGTGAGAGCTGGCAGCCTGCACAGGGCCAGGGTGTAGCAGCAGCATGGGGACAGGAGCACAAGGTCACCCAAACCCAGCCTGTGGGACATGTGCCCGCCGTGGACATCTCTGCCTGAGCGGCACCATTTTTTGTCTTTTTTTTTTTTTTTTAACAGAACAACTTTGCCTTCACTGTGGAAAAACTCTTATTGTGAAAAACATTTTATTGGTCATTGGGAATTTTTTACTTTAAAAATTAATTTTATGTTTCGAAAGTCAAATTTCCTTTCGTCTTTCTTCAGCCATTTCTTTTATTTTCTGTCCTTTATTTCCCCATTGTTTTCCATGTGAAGCAGAGAGAGGGGTGCAATAGGGAAGGCATAAAAAGAAAAAACTCATCTGAATGAGACTTCTGGGAAAAGTTTGACAGAATTCTTTTTTTTTTGTTTTGTTTTGTTCTATTTGCGGGTTTCTGTGGGATGAAACCAGACATTTTAGCTGTCTCTGGGCACAGTGTCCAGAGTGCTGTGAGTGCAATATATGTACTGTATGTAAAGCGCTGACTTGTTCCAGATTAGCAAGAAGGGGAGATTATTCATTGCTACCAATTCCCGTCAAGTCTCACTTTAGCTAGAAAAGCTCATTAACTGGCCTAATAAATTCTTGTGACTATAGTATGGCAATTTGTCTCAATATTATACCGTTAATTCACTGGGTCAAATTTTTCAGGGTCTAACAAGAGTCCAGAGCCATTCTGACAACAAAGGCAAGCGTGATATGCCAACAGAAATTCTTATCCAGTGACAGTAATATGAATTTTCATCATATTGCTTGATACCATCCATGGTTTATACTGCAGGTCTCTCTCCCCTTTGTGCCTTGTACGAATGTTCCCAGGTAGAGAGTGTGTTCTTGTAAGGCAAGAGGCGATATATTCACATCACCAAAGCCACGTGACTACCTTAAGAAGAGCCATTTCGGGCAAGCAGGGACATTTTCAAAGTTTGAAGCACAGTGGGTGAGGCTTTCTCTTGAATTGCTTGGCAGTCTCGTGCCCTGGGAATAACATTTTTAACTTCAGCTTCATGCAAATCTTTCTGGCAAAGCCAATAGTCAAGGAGAGGACTGAGGGAAAAACAACATAATTTGCTCGCCCATCTTGAGCAATATGCACGAGCTAGTCTTCACAAAGGACCCCTTGAAAATTTCATAATGAAATAGGAATCCCAGCCTGCGGGAGAAAAAGTGTACTGCTTCAGAGACATCAACGTCTTGGAGTTTAGGGTTCACTGACAGATTTGTGGGTCCTGAAACCAATTCAGAAGATGACTGGGCACCACAGGGCTGGATCAGGAATGTGCGGGAGGGAGGCAGACATAGACCCTGACACCCATAAAGCAATGTTATTAACAGGGAAACCAAAACCAGCCAATTTCTGTGGCTTTCCTCTCTTTTAAGCTGTCTCGCACACAGTACTGGCTGCATAATTTCCAACTCTGATTGATTGTACCATCACTTGGATATATAAAGTTTTCTTCAGCGTGTAACTTCTGCTCTAGCCAACCTGAATTCATTACCACACATTATACAAATGCTTCTTTGCATGACTACAGGCTCTAATTTGACCTCTTTTCACAAAAGAAAAGGTCACCGTATCTAATATATCATCAATGTCTGGAAAAGCATCTCTTAAAATGCCTCTAACATTTTTGGTCATCCTTATTTTAAAGAAATCATCATAATCTGTTGTTTGGATATCTGTTTTTACTCCTCTTACAAGATCCTACTCAAATAAAGGAAATAACCTCTTTTGAAAAAACCTACCCAGACCCTTCACTGGCTGCATCTCTGACATCCACAGTCACGCTAATACAAACCACTTTAGAGTTGGGCTTTTTGTGATTAAATAACTCAATTGATTTTAGATTGCACAAGTGATCTTGTGCAATAGAAATGACCCCAAACCACGACATTTGTAACAAGACTGGCAATCAGAAACTCTCTGCCTCATCCAGATGTGGACTGTGAGTTTACGTAAAGGTCAGGGCAACAGATCCATTTTGCGATGGCTGTGTTTTATAAATGCCACTGATGTAAACTAGCCCTGTTACCGAGAGCATCTCCCAGCCAGCTTCTGCAGTGACTGCAAAGAGGCCACAAGCTCCAACCCAGAGCTGTCAGCCTTGTTGTGCCCTTGGAACCACAGCTCAGGGGACAAACATCCCTCCTACCCCAACACCCCGTCACACGAATTTCAAAAGGAGCAAATTTAGGCACAAGTATATTAGCAGCTTTGTGCAGATATGATCCAGCTGCTCCAGGAGAGCCTGGGAAAGGGCTTAAATGTATCTGTGAGGCTGGGCTTAACAAGGCAGGGTTGCAGCCCAGGTCTCCAGCCCCCAGGAATCCACCTGTCTCGGGTCTTCTTCTGATTAGTCTGGATGCTTTGCTGCTACCTGGGTTCTCACCTCACTGCCTAGGAATTACTTTATGTCCCCATGTGTTTCATCCTGGGATACTCTAAAAGGAGCTGAACTTCTAAGAGCGTGACTCAGCTGCCTTTGAAAATCACTTGCATCACGGCGACTTATGCATTTGGACCTGAATCACTTAAAACACAAACCCAGCGCAGAAAGTGATGTTGCAGTTCTTCATGTGCTCCCCAGCTGTAACTGCTGCCCTTGGCAGCTAGGCTTAGGGGGAAAAGGGTCTTTTTCCAGCTATCTCTGATTTTCGTTGACATCAGTCTTGTTGAACAGGGATGGGTGTCCCCATTCATTCGGAGATACTGAGTGGCACACAAGCTTTGCAAGAGTCCAAAACATGGGCACAGCTCATTATGCATCCAGTTTAGTCCAGGTCATATTTAATACCCTAAATAAGTGCTGTAGGTAAAACAAGCTGGTGTTCTTGGCCCAAAGGCTAATGAAATGGCTGATATAAAACCTGTCATCATCATTTGCACTGTGGCTGAATGAATATGAAAACTGAACTACTTATCATTTCCATCCACAAAGCTCGTGTAGACAAGAACTCCAGTGCACGGGCAGCAGCAGATGTGGAAACTCGCAGTGTCCCCGTTCTTAGAGACAAACAGACAGAAGGCTTGAGCTTTCAGACCTCTTGACCTGGCACTGTCCGCAGGCTCCAGGACAGCTCTTGAAACTGTACTGTCCTCATAACCAAATTCCTACTTTATCAGAACCAGTCTGTGGCTGACAGACAGGTTAAATATGTGGGAGAGAGAAGATAAGCAGAAGACAGCTGTGGAAAATTAAAGCAAGTTCAAAATTACTCCTGGACAGAGAGAATTTGCCACTTCAGCCCAAATTCAAAGCACAAGATTAGAAGAACAGGAGAGTATTAATGACTGTGCAGCTTAAGGGATCATTTCCTAATTGCTCATCTCTCCCATCTGCTCAGGGATGACTGACGGATAAAAAATCCTCAGGGCAGATGTTGACAAGTTCAGACAACAGTCATGATCCGGACAGTTGTTTGTTTTGGTTTTAGTGGTTTAGATATTTTATTTTTTTTTAAATAAAATGAGATGAAAGAATGGGGAAGTGACTTTATAATATTAGACCCCACTTTTAGCTAGTTCTGAAGATCATTTGATGACTGAGAAATAGCCTGAAATGTGATTTCTTACCCTGCGGCTTCCTCCACCACTAACCTCTTGAGCCAGGGTGCAGGGGAAAAAAACCCAACTGTTTGTCTCCATTTGTGTTGGTACCAAATTCACTGGCGAGTGGCTGCTCCGTGGCTTTTTTACTTTGTCAGGCCAGTGGCCTTCCCCCCACAACAAACTGGCCTGAGTAGCTGCTATTTTAAGCAGTTTCCAATTTGATAGAGAAAACCGTGATTGCCTGATGGTGGCTGTGGCACCTTGTACCTTCACAACCGTCATGTTTGCTGTCGGGATGGAGTCAGGCGTTCTGTTTAAGCAGCCAGGTCTAGTTGTGGAGAAGGTGCAAAGGCTCATTTCCCCACACAGCAGCAGGCATCAGCCACGAAGGGGCACCTTGCAACCAAGATGCTCTTTCCCACTCTCGGATACTCCACCAAGCTCAGCCATCCTTAGTCTCGTGCTTCTTTGCAGGCTTTTTCTCTCATCATTGAAGTTTTTATAGTCTTTCTCAGAGACACAGACCAACACCTAGCAGTAGTCAGAAACACCTTTCTGTGTACTTGTGCTTTACACTTTTCTGCTTCAAACGCTGATGTGGCTGCAGAGGGAACAGCTGCTGTGTTAGGGATTCATGACACAAATGAGCTCGGCTGTTTTGCAACAGAATCTAAACGAAACCCCATCAATTCCATACCTCTCCCATGCTTTCCATGTGATTTAGCCCAAACAAAAATACATTATTTTTTTTTAATTGCATGAGCTCTGTTGGTGTGCTCAGTCACTCAGTCATTCTGCCCCAGGGATCCAATTCAGTTAGTGTTAAGTAGGTAGCTTAAGTGAGAAAATTCATGAGTCCATGTGCTTTCCAAACCTTTGTTTGCAGTTACAGAGATGCAACTGACCATTTACAAATACTGGAGGTGGCAAATTTGAAGCAGCTTCACCTCTTCCTTTTGATTTTTCATTTCTCCCTGACAGCATCAGTGTTTCTTGTAAATTCTAAGTATGTAGCAACAGGAGGACAAGCTGGCCCAGAATTCGGATGTGGTATTTAGGTGTCACCATACAATCCGTAACAGTCATGCTGAAATGGATTTAGCCAGGAACTTTTTAGGGCCATTTTTGTCCATTTCATACTCTCTGAATTATTGTAATTAAACCCTGTAAATACCTATCAGGCAGAGCCTTTGGGAGTGTTAGTCCAGACAGAGGGTTTTAAAGACCTGGCACTGACATCATGAGAAATCGGTGAGTTGGTCTCAATAGGACCATTAGTTTTCTGGCTATTTTTTAACCTTGTTTGATGAGTAGGAAATACATCGTTCTTTGGCACAGATGTTTGAAAACAAGTCTTTATTTTATGCGTCTCTGTGCTCAAGTGCCCAGTTTAAAGTACCAGTGCCACTTTTAGGCTTTCACATGGCTTGGCCGTTACCAAAAGTGTCTCAGGAAGGGCCCTAAAGTGGAAATACCCGAGATCACAAAGGTCTTCAGGAAATGCAAACCGTTACCACGATGTAATATTTGTGTCATTGTAAAGACCGTACGGTTTCACCACGACTGCCTCCCTTTGGAGGAGGTGTTGTGCAAACGTGCTCACAGAGCTGGACTTGGATCACAGACTTCGGTATCCGAAACAGGCGCTTGTAGGTGCAAGGGCTGAGTAAATAACATAACACGCTGCTCAACTGAGACATATCTGGGCTCCTTAAACACACAAAAGAGAATACGCGTGCATTCAGATCAGCGGCTACAAGTGACCCACCTTGGCAGCATAATTACTTTTCACCACCACTGTTGAGGGAGCCAGCTATCTCACGGTCTGAAATAACCATTCTTCTCATACGCAGACAACTAAATCACAGTCATTACAGTAGGATGAAGCCATAAATCAAGTTTCAAAATCTTTGATCCACCACAAATTTCTTAACAATTTTAATGTCTCTCCTGTATATGCGGCACTCCGGAGAGGCGAGGGAAGGGTAACTCTCTAACTATAAGAGTTTGAATTTCTTATCAAAGCAGTGAGACTCTGAAAGGGATTGTTCTACTTCTAGAAGTAACTAGCGGGATGTCTAACCCACCTGATAAATAGCCTGGAATAATTTGTCGCTTTGATCATGGCAAAGAGTTTATTACTTTCATACCTTCTTTGCATTCAGATTTGTGTGACTTCTGAAAAGGAACACGACGGCTTTATCAAAGTATACAGTGGGAAGAAGAAAGGCTTTGTCCCCATAGACGTCCTAGAAAACATCTGATTTCAACAGCCCGCTTGCTGCAGTAGGAGCCCTTTGTTGGCGATGCCTGTCTGCCTCATCTCACACTGTGTCAACCCAGATGGGCTGTCTTGCAGATGTTCAGGGAAATAGTGAGAAAACTGCAACTACAAGAAGAAAAATCACATTTAGACTGCCACAGCAACACTAAGAAATAAGAAAAGTGGAATATTTGAAAGAAAATGTAGTCAGAAACCACTAGATAAATGAGAGGTCCTCAGATACTAACAAGAATAAGGTAAGGGGTGGGTGGGGGGGAAGTCTGGGCCGATTTCTGGTGCAAGGTGGCTGTTACAACCCTGATGGAGACAGACAGCTTCTTCTGAAGGACTGAACTCATGTCCTGTTCTTGTGTCTCAGAAAACTGTTGGACTGCTTTCTTGTTTGAAGTGTGTATTTGGGGGGGAGGGGGGAAAATACCATTCAAACTGTCCTCGTACTACAGTCCAATGCTTGTAGTAAAGCGTGGCTGTGGGCTACAGTTTTGTCCCCAGTATCAACCGATCAGTTTAAGCGTTTAATCCTGGTGTTTAGTCTCATAACAAAGCAGTTTGGAGACACCACGTGAACGTCAGTTCGAGAAATGCACTGTGCCCTGGAAGTCGGCAGCTTTCTCTTTCTGTGCAATCTTCCCATATGAAAGAGTAGCGAACGTGTGTGTGTGTGTGTGTGTGTGTGTGTCCTTTGTTTTCTCTGTATACGAACAAAAGCTCTCGGCGTATGTTGGGTGTGATGGCTGCTCTCATAGCTCACAAAAATAGCCGGTCCTCCGATTGCTTGGAAGTGACCCTCTGTGTTTCCTGCACCTTTATCTGGTGATACAGAAAATGGGCAAAATACTGGGAAAGAGCCACAGGCTTGAAACATTTTATATTTTTCTGTGTTTATTGCACTTAAAAGATTTTATATATTAATTCTATTTATAAAAAATAAAAGAGTTAACTAAGCCCCGGAAGACTGAAAATGCTTGGAAAGGACAGACTGCACATAGACGTGATCTGGAATTATCAAAATCCAGAACTTGGGACAGAAAGGCACTGAGTGTCATAGCATTGTGTTCACACACCAAAGGCGTCTTCTTCATTTGCTAAATACAAGTTTTGCAGATTCAGCAGTAAATGCACTGACATGAATTCCTCCTTGGCATAAACCACCGTGAGCATCCCATAAATCCTGTCCATCCTAGTGAGACTGTGCAGGCAGCTCTGTTTTGTCCATGGAAGCCTCCATCTTCAAGCATGTTTTGGACAGGCGAACCTTTTGGTACCTGGACAGCAGTCTGCGGGACCTGTGGATCTTGACCAAATTATACAAGTGAGCCAGTGCCAATCCTGTTGTAGAGAAGGGGCCTTATGATGTCTAAAGACAGGGAATCTGATTTGCAAGTATTTAATTGGATGTAATTGTACCAAATACACTTAAATATCTTACCATGTATTATGACATAGAGATTAAGTCCTATCCCAAAGCTTCTGGCTGAATTCATGCCTTGTCTGACCAGCTTGAGACTGAATGCCAGTCTTTACTGCAGTTAACCCCAAGTTATTGTCCTAAATCCTGATGCTGCAAGAAGAAATTCCCATGCTGCCAGGCTAGTATAGGCCTTTGCAAAGTTAACACTATTTCTAAAAACAAACTACCAGGTCCTGCTTCCATATACTGAGGCAGTTCGAATCTGTGTTACACAGCCCAGGTCTCAATAGCTGGGTTGCCCTATTTGAGTAGCTGATCTTACTCAAAGCCTTATGAAATCCAGTTCAGCTCCACACATGACCAGAAGTTCACAGGGCAGATCAGTCTTCAACCTCTCTCAGACACGTTTTGTATCTCTCACGTATCACTTAATTGCAGAGGAGGAAGTTGCAGGGGTGTCAACTGCTGAAATGTAGTCCTTCGTAACATAAGTGGTCTGTACCAGTTATTAATGTCCTCCTGGCTGATCAAAAGTACCTGATTTCATATCTTCTGTGGGAATATCAGCAATTTATAGATAATTTTTTTTCAGTTCAAACAACGAACATTTGTTCAGCGCATTTCCCCAAGTAACCAATAAACTCAGTGAGAGGACAGAGGATTCTGATGATAAGCCTTAAAGATCAAGAGGAAAAGTAGTAGAGACTTATTAATCCACTCTGCTTTGTAAGATTATTTTTTTATATTCAGCTGGTCAAAGTAAAAACTCAAGTGTTTATTAGAATTAAAACATTTGCTACTTTTGATCAGGCCTGTCAAGTGGACAAAGGACATCTGTATTAATCTATACATATGTGCTATTGTTTACATGATTGCATCATACTGTGATTCCCTCCTATTCAGTCTTCTACGATTTCAATTTAGCCCTACAATGTGCATCGTACTATTCAAAGAATTATATGAATATTACCTACAACTCACAATGGCCTTTAATCAATGTCATTTTGATTCCTTTTGATACTGAGCAATAAATAATAAAGTGACTGAGTAAAAACAAAACAGACCTTATGTGGACTGTATTACATCTGAGAAAGCATTGCTTCTGAACCAAAGCTTTCATGGTTATCTTTTCTTTGTGGTTGTTTCTGGTTTGTCTTTTTACTGGGCTTTTGCTGCCGTTTGATATGTAGACATAATTTATGCCTAATTTAGCAAGAAGCACATACATGAGTCTTACTTCTTTAAGCATGTGATTCATTGGCTATTTGCATGCTTAAAGCTGAAGCACTTTGCTGAATTAAGGTCATTTTCCTCAAATTTATTTTGGATGCCTTATTCTGAATCCAGACGAGTATCCCATCATTTTTTTCCTACCATACGCAGTTTGCAATACATACTGCATTAGCAAGCAGTTAAAAGTCAGAGAGAAGATGGAATGGACTTTATCTGACTTATGCTCAGAAAAATTGAATTTTAGGAGATAAATGCTGTTCAGATCTAATTTAATATTCTGCTTAATAAAGACTTGGATGGTTGGAAGGAGAATAGAAGTGTATATTTCTTGGCTTCTTTGCATAAGACTGTATAATTTTCAGTTATCCACCTTCAAGAACATTCACTAAACCCATCAGCAACAGATGTTACTGAGCATTTCCATTTAAAATCTACAGCACTTACATTTGCCACTTTTAGCAAACCATATCTAAAGTAGTTCTTCTGCAATGTATGTAGCATGCGTAGACTCGGAGTGAAGTTTTGTGGTGGGGGCCATCCTGAACATTTGTTTCTGGCAGATCAGGGTGTATTTTAAGTCATTCAACATCTCATCACAGCATAAAACTGGCTGTAGAATATTTTCATAAGTGCTAGGAACAGTTGATCAACATGAGTTGAGGATGAGCTGCCTGAACCATGATTTTTCTCCCATCCGTAAATAACACAGTATCTCAGTTTATTATCATCTTTCTCCACACTTGGCCATTTTGACGCAGTGACTTCCTTCGGAGGCAGATGCTGCAGTGCAGAGTCAGCTGTGGGCTCATTGCCCCAGCGGAACTAAGACACTTATTGCTACATACATTGTGTATCATCTTTAGCATTGCTTACCGGCCTTTTTTTTTGTAATTATTTGTTGAGATTCAATTGACTAAATATAGCACCCAGTGCTATCAGGGGAACCTGCACAGGGCCAGCAGGCAGTGACACTGGAGATCTGGAAGAGCCGTGACCTTCTAAAGAAGCCACCAGAGACCATGTAGGTTGTCTAATACGGCACCAGACAGATGTCTTTGGAAAATGAACCCAACTCATTTATTTTAAATATGTGCAGACAACTCTGATTTATTGAGCACTCAAATTACATCTTTCTTCCCCTAAAGGACACTGAATAAATGCAGCAAGCCGTATCAATCTTGTCCCATTTAAATCCACTGTAAAAAGAATCCTTGAATGCCCCAGGGACTGGAGTTCAGCTATTTTCTTGGAAAAGACTGGTCAATGTTACTGTTCTCCCAAAAATCTATGATGTAATTTGTCTGATCTAACCGTAAATGTCTACAACTAAGTAAATCAATTTGCTTTCGCCCTTCCCCAGAAAACAGAGTAACGTGTGCTTCGGTACTATGGTTCTTCTGACCGACTGAAGGCTTCTGCTTTCGCATCAGCTAGATTGTGCCCCACAATCGACAACCGAGGGAGCGTTGGATAGCTGGGTGAGATGCAGACCTCCGCAGCCTTAACATCCGTATCAGGGCAGAAGAATTCCTAGTCCTAATTTCTGGATGTGTAGGTGTAACATATATATCTCTCTGTAACAGATACACCTGACTACCATGTGTCCTGTACTTTTTACAGTGCCTCCGCTTCAGTACTATGGTTCTTCTGTGCCCCACAATCGACAACTGAGGGAGCGTTGGCTAGCTGGGTCAGATGCAGACCTCCGCAGCCTTAACATCCGTGCTTCGGTACTATGGTTCTTCTGACCGACTGAAGGCTTCTGCTTTCGCATCAGCTAGATTGTGCCCCACAATCGACAACCGAGGGAGCGTTGGATAGCTGGGTGAGATGCAGACCTCCGCAGCCTTAACATCCGTATCAGGGCAGAAGAATTCCTAGTCCTAATTTCTGGATGTGTAGGTGTAACATATATATCTCTCTGTAACAGATACACCTGACTACCATGTGTCCTGTACTTTTTACAGTGTCTCTGAAGTTACTAGTCACGGTTATTATTAGCTAGGAGAAAAGAGGTGCATTTTTTTCCCCCTTTTTCTTTCTATAGAATTTCCTTTACTGGCTGGTAGATAAGAGTGGCTTCCAAAAATTGGACATTTTGCGTTTAAATACACACATAACTTTAATATCATATAGAACTGATCCTATTAAGGACATTTTAATTTAAAATACTGAACAAGAAGAATACTAGCATGGCCCTATCCCTGCCTGCAAAAATACTGGCTGTCCATAAGTTCCGAGAGAAACAGTAGCACGCTCTTACCATATGCCTAGGGAGGTAGCTTGGTGTGTGGTTCATTTTTTACTACTATTTCACTGTGTTTCTTCTGGACAAC